ATCCGGTGGGAGAGAAACCAGGGAGCCAGAGGGTCGTTCAAGGCTGTGTTTCACCTGCAGGAAACCCGGCCATATTGCCAGATTCTGTCCAGAAGGAGGGAGGAACGCCACAAGCAAGCCTTCTTTAAACGATGCACGCCAGTAAGGAAGGGAGTGCGACTACTGGCGAACACGAGAGCACCCAGGAATAGGCCATGAATCAAAGTTCAGAACAAATTCAGCCCCTTAGCAAATGAGGAACCACGCCTCGAGGAGACCGAAATTCAAGCCTCGCCTGTCAAGCATTCGTCACCTGATACTGTTGGCCGGCCTAATGAAGTAACCGCCAGCACAGGGAGCATTTCCGCCGACAACGAACACGACCTAATGCGCGTCCAGGGCAAGATAAATGGACGTCGCGTTACCATGCTACTGGATTCTGGGTCAACCCACGACTTCATTTCAACTGACCTTGTCAAGAAGCACAACATCTCCACAACAACCGGTAGCGACGTCCTGAACGTCACACTTGCTGATGGATCGGTCCGCTCACAGCCTATTACGAAAACGGACAGCTTGAAGACCGTAGTCGGCGACTTTAGCGAGCACCAACAGTTCCTAGTATTCCCCATGACGCGGTATGACGTGATCCTCGGCAAGCCATGGCTGACCCGGACGAACCCACAGATCAATTTTCGTACCAATGAAATCAAGCTGGAGGGTGGATCCATCATCTGTCAACCGAGTGAAAGTGATGGCACGGACAAATCCAACCCACCGATCGAGACGTTCCTCATCTCAGGGAAGCAGGCTAGGCATGCAATGAGAGGTGGCGCAGAAGGAATCCTAGCGTATGTGACAGCAGATCCGGACGAACCACAGACGGTGGATAGTCCGGGTAGGGAGGATCAGAAGGATTTCAAGGACCTGCTGAAGGAGTTCGGGGACGTCTTTCCCGATGAGCTTCCAAACAAGCTGCCACCCAGAAGAGGCGCAGATCACGAGATAAAAACGGAAGAAGGAGCTAAACCGCCATCTCGTGCAGCATATCGTTTACCAAAACCAGAGATGGATGAGCTTCAAGCTCAGCTCACCGAGCTGCTCCGTAGAGGATTCATCCAGCCCAGCAAATCCCCATACGGAGCCCCTGTGTTCTTCGTAAAGAAGGCGGATGGAACACTTCGAATGGTATGCGACTGGCGTGAGCTAAACCGCATAACCATTAAGAACAAGGCATGCCTACCGAATATTGACGACCTCTTTGATACCGTCCAAGGCAGTGCGTATTTCACCAAGCTAGATCTGAGGTCCGGTTACAATCAGATTCGAATAGAAGAAACAGATATTCCGAAGACAGCAATAAATACCCCATTCGGTCACTTTCAGTTCACAGTGATGGGTTTCGGCCTAACAAATGCCCCGGCAACATTCCAAACCTTGATGAACAGTGTCCTCCAGCCATACCTGCGTAAATTCGTTGTGGTGTTTCTAGACGATATCCTCATATTCAGCAAATCATGGGAGGAGCACCTCGATCATGTCAGAACCATCTTAAACGCCCTCAGGAGGAATGAGCTATATTGCAAACCGTCTAAATGTGAATTCGGCCGGACAGACGTTCTGTTTCTTGGGCACCGGATAGACGGCCAATGCATTTCTCCAGATCCAGAGAAGATCAAGGCCGTGCATAACTGGCCTGTCCCGACGACGGTCACGCACGTAAGACAGTTTCTGGGATTCGCTTATTACTTTCGAAGGTTCATTAACCATTTCTCGTCCATCTCCAAACCCCTGGAGGAACTGACAGGGAAACATGTGCGCTTCGAGTGGAATCAGACTCGACAGGAGGCATTTGAGCGATTGAAGTCTGCTCTGCTGGATGCACCAGTGTTGCGACTAGCAAACGTCAGTCAGGATTTCCGCGTTGAGACTGACGCAAGTGACTTTGCTGTGGCAGGAGTCTTAACGCAGCAAGCAGAGGACCAGTCCTGGCATCCTGTGGCTTACGTGAGCCGAAAGCTGTCTTCTGCCGAACGGAATTACACGGCCGCCGAGCGAGAAACTTTGGCTGTAGTGTACGCCCTGCAGTGCTGGCGAGTCTACCTATTTCGCCACTTTCAACTCTACACCGACAACATGGGAGTTGTCTACCTCAGGACCAAACCAAACTTAACCAAGAGAGAGGCTCGATGGATTGAATTCCTGGCCGACTATGACTACACGGTACATCACAAGCCAGGGAAGTGTAATACAGCAGACCCGTTGTCACGTCGACCAGACTTGGAACTGAATGGAATCGAGTTCTCTCTGGATGTGAATCAAGGAATTGCGAATCAGATCTCAGCAGGGTATGATAGTGACCCAGAGCTTTCGCCAGTAATCAAGCGTTTGATGGCTTGCAGCGAAGACGCCATGCATGAGCGATACGTCTGGAACAGTGTGGACCGGCGGCTGTACCTAGTAACATCGGGCGATGCTCGCCTCTGCATTCCTCGCGGTCCGGTACGGCTGCAACTGCTCAAACAGAATCATGATTGCCTGACGGCCGGCCATCCGGGGAGAGACAGGACCTACCTGAAGCTGAGCAGATACTTCTATTGGCCAGGCATGAGAAGTACTGTGAAGGACTTCGTTAAATCTTGCGACCGGTGCCAACGCGTAAAGGGTAGCCAGACCAAGGCAGGACTGTTGCAGTCCCTTCCAGTCCCCGAACAGCCCTGGACAGACATCAGCATGGATTTCATCATGGCACTGCCGCTGACCTGCCGAGGACATAGCGCCATTCTAACCTTTGTGGACCGTCTGACGAAGTATGTGCACCTGATCCCGACGACTGTTCATGTTGACTCTAAGGAGGCAGCCCGATTGTACGTGGATCATGTGTTTGCTGCCCATGGCTTGAGCAAAACGATAGTTTGTGATCGAGATCCGCGATTCACGTCGGCGTTCTTCAAGGAGGTTTTCAGTATTCTTGGCGTGGAGCTAAAAATGAGCACGGCCAACCACCCGCAGACCGATGGCATGACTGAGCGTGTGAACCGTGTCATTGAGGATACGCTAAGAGCTTTCGTCAACCATAGGCAAAACAATTGGGATGAACTCCTATCGCTATGTGAGTTTGCGATCAACAATGCCGATCAAGCGTCAACAGGTAACACGCCATTTTTCCTCAACCATGGATGCCATCCAGTTACTCCCTCGAGCTTATTGACGAAGCAGAAAGCTGGAGCTGGCATGGACACGAATGGTCCGCTGTCATGGCTGGATGGCCGCGTAGAGGCACTACGTGAGGCACAGGATGCCATCGTGGCGGCGCAGGCCCGGCAATCATTGTATGCGGATCGAGGACGGGTGGAGGACGCCCTGAAGGAGGGGGATGAGGTGTTGGTCTTCAGGGACTTCCTGCTGACGCCCGAGGAACGAGACAGGCCTTCACACAAATTAAGGCTCAAGTGGTATGGGCCGTTCAAGGTGCAGAAGAAAGTGGCCCCGAATGCGTACAGATTAGCTCTTCCAAGAATCATTCGGGCCCATCCAGTGTTCAATATTGCTGCCCTCAAGCTGTACCATGGCAATGAGATACCGGGCCGTACTCAGCCGGCACCTCCACCCCTAACCGATGCGGATGGCCATACGCGGTACATTGTCGAAAAGGTGTTGTCGCACAAGAAGAGAGGACGGCGCACGCAGTACCTAGTGAAATGGAAGGGCTACCGAGATGCCACCTGGGAGCCGGAGGAATACTTGATGGATGAAGCAGGAAACGCTATTATTCCGCTGAAAACCTACCTGGACCGTTTTTCATAAAATTGCTATTTAATTGGCAGCCACAGTTGTATTGCTAGTTTCTACGTGTTGCAATAGAAATGTAGCATTCTGCATGATTAGGATAGTGCTTCCCTGCCAGCCAGGCGTTATTTGCAGAGGACATGCACTGGATCTTGAGTTCATCAGTGTTGTTTTCGGCTACCATGCATTCCACATATCCATGCATGATCATTAGTTACCATAACTGTTCCTTCGAATTGGTACTGTTCTGACAGTTGAGAGGGGGGAATGGTGTAACAGATTCACTGTTACTACTAACACTAGGAATAGGATACACTTATCACCTGCTATTATCACGCTGCTGCTGTTAGGTGTTATGTCCATCATTGCTTGTTCATGTATATAAGAATGCATTATGGCAAGGATCATTGCTTATTCCAAGAATGACTACTGAAGTTAGTTGGACTGTTACTACCACTACCACTACCACTACCACTACCACTACCACTACCACTACCACTACCACTACCACTACCACTACCACTACCACTACCACTACCACTACCACTACCACTACCACTACCACTACCACTACCACTACCACTACCACTACCACTACCACTACCACTACCACTACCACTACCACTACCACTACCACTACCACTACCACTACCACTACCACTACCACTACGACTACGACTACTACTACTACTACTACTACTACTACTACTACTACTACTTGACACAATCTTTATTAGGAAACTTGAAATGGAGATGTGAAACACAAATACAGCCATGTAGATGGAGCAGCAATGCAATACAATGTCCAATCATGGGGCAATGTTGGGCAAATGTCTGTCAGGTACTATCACGCTCAGGCTGCCCGCAACCTGCACATCGTCGTGAAATTCATCCTGTTGCGGCGGTATGACGATCTTGAACCCCGCAAACAGGTGACTGCCCATCGCATAAGGCAGACTGACAGCTTACAACGGAGCTGACCCATGATAACCGATACGTGTAGGTCGACGTTCTTCTCAGCAATCAGGCATGCCAGTGTCTTCAGTGCCATTGAGCATTCTCTGCCAATCATGCCCGAGGTAGAAAAAACTAGCGGTGTAAACGTACCTCTGTCAACTACTACTACTACTACTACTACTACTACTACTACTACTACTACTACTACTACTACTACTACTACTACTACTACTACTACTACTACTACTACTACTACTACTACTACTACTACTACTACTACTACTACTACTACTACTACTACTACTACTACTACTACTACTACTACTACTACTACTACTACTACTACTACTACTACTACTACTACTACTACTACTACTACTACTACTACTACTACTACTACTACTACTACTACTACTACTACTACTACTACTACTACTACTACTACTACTACTACTACTACTACTACTACTACTACTACTACTACTACTACTACTACTACTACTACTACTACTACTACTACTACTACTACTACTACTACTACTACTACTACTACTACTACTACTACTACTACTACTACTACTACTACTACTACTACTACTACTACTACTACTACTACTACTACTACTACTACTACTACTACTACTACTACTACTACTACTACTACTACTACTACTACTACTACTACTACTACTACTACTACTACTACTACTACTACTACTACTACTACTACTACTACTACTACTACTACTACTACTACTACTACTACTACTACTACTACTACTACTACTACTACTACTACTACTACTACTACTACTACTACTACTACTACTACTACTACTACTACTACTACTAGGAAGCGTGTTTTTATTACTACTATTACTACTACTACTACTACTACTACTACTACTACTACTACTACTACTACTACTACTACTACTACTACTACTACTACTACTACTACTACTACTACTACTACTACTACTACTACTACTACTACTACTACTACTACTACTACTACTACTACTACTACTACTACTACTACTACTACTACTACTACTACTACTACTACTACTACTACTACTACTACTACTACTACTACTACTACTACTACTACTACTACTACTACTACTACTACTACTACTACTACTACTACTACTACTACTACTACTACTACTACTACTACTACTACTACTACTACTACTACTACTACTACTACTACTACTACTACTACTACTACTACTACTACTACTACTACTACTACTACTACTACTACTACTACTACTACTACTACTACTACTACTACTACTACTACTACTACTACTACTACTACTACTACTACTACTACTACTACTACTACTACTACTACTACTACTACTACTACTACTACTACTACTACTACTACTACTACTACTACTACTACTACTACTACTACTACTACTACTACTACTACTACTACTACTACTACTACTACTACTACTACTACTACTACTACTACTACTACTACTACTACTACTACTACTACTACTACTACTACTACTACTACTACTACTACTACTACTACTACTACTACTACTACTACTACTACTACTACTACTACTACTACTACTACTACTACTACTACTACTACTACTACTACTACTACTACTACTACTACTACTACTACTACTACTACTACTACTACTACTACTACTACTACTACTACTACTACTACTACTACTACTACTACTACTACTACTACTACTACTACTACTACTACTACTACTACTACTACTACTACTACTACTACTACTACTACTACTACTACTACTACTACTACTACTACTACTACTACTACTACTACTACTACTACTACTACTACTACTACTACTACTACTACTACTACTACTACTACTACTACTACTACTACTACTACTACTACTACTACTACTACTACTACTACTACTACTACTACTACTACTACTACTACTACTACTACTACTACTACTACTACTACTACTACTACTACTACTACTACTACTACTACTACTACTACTACTACTGGCGTCGGAATCTATTTATTGTGCCACATGGAGCCGTGGGTCGGCGGTTTGTGGCTCTACTGGCTGACCTCATGCACTCGTTTGCTGTTGGTGGTGCAGCGCGCCGGCATGCCTGGGCGGCTGTGGTCGTGGCTTCCCAGTTGCTCCTACAGAAGCCATGTGCTACCCAGTACGGGGCTTCGGCACCGCACCTTGATCGGCGTCTCGGCCTATGGGAATCTGGGCGGATTGGTGAGCTGCTGCGCGAGGGACGGTGCCTCCAGGCACATTTGCCCCCTCTTCGGGACTCTGGGCCTCGGGAGGCAGATGGGCAAATTGATGATATGAGATTCAGCAAGCTGGTCTTCTCCGGCAGAATACAATCGGCCATTCGTCTCGCCTCATCAGCCTCGTCCGGTGGGGTATTGGCGATGGATGAGGTCATGGACGCCGACACTGGGAAGACCGTGAGAGATGCACTTCTCGAAAAGCACCCATCACCTGCTAGCCCTGACCCGAGCGTTCTGGTGGATGCGGCGGACAGGCCTGAATGTGATCCCATTCTGTTTGAGAGGCTGACACCCGCCTTGATTAAACGCGTCGCTCGCGAGATGTCCGGCTCATCCGGCCCGTCTGGCCTTGACGCAGAGGCTTGGCAGCGAATGCTGACATGCTACGGAGCTTGTTCGGACCGGCTGGCTTCTTCCATGGCGGAGACCGCCAGGCTTCTGTGCAGGGAGGATGTTGACCCGGATTCCTTGGCAGCCTTCACTGCGGCCCGGCTGATTCCGCTCAATAAGAACCCGGGCGTGCGGCCAATCGCAGTGGGTGAGGTGTTCCGTAGGATCGTCTGCAAGGCTGTCGCCCGAGTGATAGAGCCTGACATGCTCATGGTCACGGCTCCTCTGCAGCTGTGCGCGGGTGTCCCATCTGGCTGCGAGGCTGCGGTACATGCCATGGAGCACCTCTTTGAGCAACCAGCGACTGAGGCGATCCTACTGGTAGATGCAGGGAACGCTTTCAACTCGCTGAACCGTGCCGTTGCCATGCATAATGTACCCGTGGTCTGCCCGCCGCTTGGCCAGATCTTCCACAACACCTACCGTTCGCCAAGCCGATTGTTTGTTGCTGGTGGTGGCGAAGTGCTGTCGCGCGAGGGTACCTGTCAGGGCGATCCCTTGGCGATGGGAATATACGCTGTGGCCATAACGCCTCTCATACGCCGCTTGGGAGAGCTCTGCCCCGATATCGTGCAGGAGTGGTACGCTGACGACGATTCCGCCGCTGGCCGTGTCCGGTCTCTGTTGCGCTATTGGAACAGTGTGAAGGAGCTTGGCCCGGCCTACGGATATACCCCTAACCCAACAAAAACGGTGCTGCTGGTCAAGGAGGAGTGTTTGGAGGAGGCGTCCACCCTGTTCGCCGGCACCGGCATCAAAATCATCACCTCCGGTTGTCGATATCTGGGAGGAGTGCTCGGCACAGGAAGCTTCAAGGCCGCGTATCTTGAGGAGGCGGTATCCGCCTGGTGCAGGCAGGTGGTGAACCTGGTATCTGTGGCCCGTACTCAGCCTCATGCAGTTTACGCCACGCTGCAGGGTGTCTACTCCAAGTGGCGCTACGTGCTCCGAGTGGCATCCTGCCCGCCTGCGTTACTAGAGCGCCTGGATACCCTGGTCAACCGTGACCTGCTACCCCTCCTCTTGGGTCGGGAGGTGCCTGATGAGGCAAGCCTTCGGCGACTCCTCTCAGTGCCCACCCGCCTTGGAGGCCTAAACATCCCGATTCTGGCGGCTGAGGCGGAGCGGGAGTATTCCACTTCTGTTGCGGTGACGGAGCCGCTTGTACGTCTGATGGTCGGTGATGGTTCGGGGAGTGCCGTCCCCGATGGCGAGGAGGTGTCTTTGGCATCGCCTCAGAATCCACCCTTGTCGGTTGCTTCTGCTTCTGCTGCGTCCGTGCCCGATGGCGAGGAGGTGTCTTTAGCATCGCACCGGAATCCACCATTGTCGGTTGCTTCTGCTTCTGCTGCGTCTTCTGCTGCGTCCGTTCGTGATCCTCCTGGACCTGTGACCCGGCCAGAACCTGGGGTCCACACCACCCAGCCGGTTCGTGATAACCCGTCGGTCGCAGCCGTTACCGAGTCCCGCAAGCGAGCGGTCTCACGTCGCAAGGACAAGGAGAAGTCGCAGAAGGCACTAGTCGCGGCGTTGTATCCCGATCTGCCACCGCCTCAGAAATGCCTCACAGATATCGCCGGTGAGAAGGGCGTGTCGTCATGGCTGACGTGTGCCCCGCTTACTGCGCACCGGACAATCCTGAACAAGTCCGACTTTCGAGATGCGGTGTGCATACGCTATGGGTACCTGCCACTGGATGTCCCGTGCAAATGCGCTTGTGGAGCGGACACCACCCTACACCACTCGATGACGTGTCCACATGGGGGGTACCCGATGGCACGTCATGACGAAATCCGGGACACCCTGGCGGCTGTCCTTGGCGATGTCGTGCCAGACGTGGAGGTCGAGCCTAGACTGCTCCCTCTCGATGGCGAGGTGCTCGCCGGCCGGACCGCCAATCGCAGCGCTGAAGCTCGTTTGGACATCAGGGCCGGGGGTTTCTGGACAAGGCAGCAGGACGCTTTCTTTGATGTCAGGGTCACCCACCCTAAAGCGTCCCTGCTGTCGCGTTCGGAAGCCCTTGGCCAACTGCGTACCAGCGAGTTGGAGAAGAAGCGAAAATACTGCCAGAGGATCACGGACGTCGAGCGAGGTGCCTTCACTCCGTTGGTGTTTGCTACGAATGGCATGGCTGGGGCAGAGTGTGGAATGTTCCTGAAGCGGCTTGTTCAGCGCGTGGTGGAGAAGCACTCTGACCTACAGTACTCCGTCGTCATGCACCATCTTCGTGCCAGGATTGCCTTCTGCCTCCTCCGCTGGGCCGTAACCTGTCTGCGTGGATGCCGGGGAGCTCGGGGCGTACGCCGTGGCAATTCGTTTGTCACGGAGTGCAGGCTGCTCCGGTAGTGGCATGGGGCTGTGTGGCCGATCCTAAACGGATGTTGTGACGTAACGGACATATCTGTTTTTGAGCATGTCTTTTTTTTTTCGTTTTTGTTTTTTTCGTTTTTGTTTTTTTGGTTCTACTTTTATAATAGTTTGTTTTGTTTTGTTTATCGGACAGATCGAAATAAGCATTCACACGCAGACAAATTATACATCCACCACCCTATTGGTTTATGATGTTTTTACACATATACCCCCAATAGGCTATTTATCAGACTCGAGTTTTCAACTTACACATTCCACATTCACCACTCAATCGGCTTTTGGTTTGTTCACACATACGTACCATACGCGATCTATTGGACTTGAGTTTTACCTTGTGTCCTTTTTTGCAGTCAGCAGATTCTTTTGTTGGACATTGTTTATTGAGTTTCTTGTTGCTTTTGGTTTACGCATATGCGTCATTTGCCCGTAAAAGAGGCCTTGTTACTACTACTACTACTACTACTACTACTACTACTACTACTACTACTACTACTACTACTACTACTACTACTACTACTACTACTACTACTACTACTACTACTACTACTACTACTACTACTACTACTACTACTACTACTACTACTACTACTACTACTACTACTACTACTACTACTACTACTACTACTACTACTACTACTACTACTACTACTACTACTACTACTACTACTACTACTACTACTACTACTACTACTACTACTACTACTACTACTACTACTACTACACTACTACTACTACTACTTCTACTACTACTGAACTTCGCCTTTATTTGAAAACAAACCGGGTATCAGAAAGAAGAAACTGAAAAGCGCAAGCAAGAAAGGCAATGGTGACAAAACCATTCAAGAAATTAGCAAAAATCAAATCAAATAAATAGGAAAATCCAATCAGAAAATAAAATAAAAGAATCAAGCCAACTAGGGAATACAAAAACCAAGAGCAAACCCGCAAACACCATCCAAGCATCGCTACTACCAGTACGATGACGTTTCCATTCACCCAACCGCTTAAACGCTTTTAAAACGAAAACAAATACAACAGAACACTCTGAGACAGAATGAAACCAATAACAATATTATGGCAGGTCCATTGATGCCTGTCAGCGCGGCATATGAGCCAACGTACGGCACTCCGTCACAAAGCAATGTCGGCCAATGCCGGATCCACTGCGTAGGTATGATGCACGTGACCCCCGTAAGCAAGTAATCTGCCACCGCATCAGAGATAGACTGATTCTCGAGCGCAAGTGGCTGATGATGAGACGATAATTATGGTATGTTTGTCCGAGTTCTTATGGTGCAGTTGTGTTGCGAGGGTCTTCTGCTTCGTTCCGCCATGACTCTCACCTTGTAATCTTCAAAAATCGACAGATTGTGACGTTTTGTTCTTTTCTCGAAAAAATTACGAAGCACCTAAGGTCGGTTTTCGCAGAGCGCGGGTTACTGATAATTTTTACCATTTTTGAACATGCGGCCTCGAAGCGTTGGCGTCGTTCTGTTGCCTGGCAACAACCAGGAAAAAGTCGAAGAACAAAATAATTTTCGGGTTGCAAAAAGTCGCTGCGGTCGAAAAATTTCCAATCAACCAAAGGAAAAACCAGTCGAAAAAATTCCGAAAAACGGAATGCAGAACCTCTCTAGCTCTATGTGAGTATGTCATTTAGATACTACTTCGTGCGATAGCGGTGGTACCATTTATCCACTCTAACTTTTTGGCGATGGCTTGCGAATAGAGACAGCCAAAAGCACGATTTCTGCTCGCTAGCTGTGCTCCGCATTTCATTAGAACATTGTTGAAAAGCAACACACAAGAAGGTTTGAACAGTGCGGGTTGCAGCTTCAGCCTTCTCTCCCTTGCTTTCGGCTTGCGACAGAGACTGCGGGTCGCGCTGTGTTCACGTTGATTGACCAGTGAGCGCTGCACACAAGCTAGCTACAGAGATGGCGGAGCTCAACATGCTACCTACAGCGATGGTGGAGATCTGCGGGGAGAAGTTCTATGAACTACACATGGGCTGTCCAGCTACAAATTGTCTCAACGTATCGTAAGTACTTCGATTTGTTTTATTCAAAGCCCCACATTTGAGTGAATAATAGCAAGAAGGTACAAGAGAGGAGCTAGAGAGAAAAGGGAAACCAAGGGGGCGTCCATGTAGAAAAGGAAAAGTCACTTCAGAGATAAAAACATTGAAAGGATCAATCACGCAATACGTTTTACTTCCAACTTCGATTGTGTTCTTGACTGAGCATGCTGAACATGCAGGAATCATATCATTTTCCACAGGTGTGGGGTGCTGTTGCAATAATGGATAATGTATTGATGGTGCTACTACTGTATAAGAAGAAAGTAGTCTTTGGAGAAGGTGCCATTCAGCTTGATTTGAACCAGTGTGTATTTGTGCCTTCACTGCCCATTCAAGTTGATCTCGGGGCAGGGTAAAGTTTGCATCCATGAACTAGCCACGTCTGTTCCAGAAGTTACGGAATCTGTGGGGATTCCTTGTTGCACATATAACGTATTGCGAGCTCGGCTTGGTATTCTCTTTTGTTTGTTCTGTGGTTTCGTTCTGCACCCCCCCCCCCCCCCCCCCCCGTCCACATCCCCTCCTTTCTCTCTAACGTCCATGTTGATGTCTGATTGCAACGGCAACGCTATGACCTCTGGTTGGGAGGAGTTGCTCACAGTACATATACATGATGGTGACAGCTTGTGATCGTAGCTCACCAGTTTCAATGCTCCTGTGCCTGTGTTTGCTTGATTCAAACTGCAGCAACCGTTATGTGGTCCAAGGGATTTGGATAAGCAAAGATTGCCAAGGATTGATGCATATTGGACAGAAGGGCAACTTGTGCTGCAATCACCACAGCGCAACGCATCCCTGTGTCTACGGCCCACTGAATGGCTTCAGATTCGACTGTTCCCTGCGCAGTCAGGATTCGCCTCATAGCCACCAGGAGCCCTTCGTTGAGGGTAATCGCCATACATTCTGTCACGCATTAGGTAGTGGGTTTGCAATGTCTTACTTAGGTTCTCTGGATGATGCGTGGGTGAAGGAACTGCTAGCGGCTATTGATAAACAATTTTCTCCGTCTGCATCTTTACAGCGAACCGTACGTATGACACTAGGGTTTGTGCCGAAGCCAAAAAAATAGTGTCGTCCGGTCTGTCTTGCTTCATGATCGCGTAACTTCCCCTCTTTTGCTTATCTCTGATAACATGAGCCTCCCAAGTTGGGTGGTCGTTGTTTCGCGTTTCCGAAGTGAGCTGTGGCCGTCCTGTGCCGTGGTCCTTCGTCCTTCATCACCATCTTGTCATAGCTAACATTCTTAGTTCGCTGTGATATTTAGCTTGTTTTCGTCTAGAGTGCACTCACCTTCCCCTTTCTTACGTTACTTCATAACTTAGAACCTTTCAAGTTGGAAGGCTGCTGGTTTGCGCATTCTAGACGTGATGCAGCTAAGCATCACGTCATTGAATGTCATGATCTCATTAGTCAGTTTTTGTGCTAATTGTTGCACATTTTTGACTCAACAGTATTCTGCTTATAACCGTTAGTGTTGGAGAAAATGGATAACTTGTAAACTTTTGGTCCTCTTTTTGAGTTTCCTATGTAATCGGATATGGCGAAGTGCGAATTATTCTAAAAGCTGTGATGTGGAAATGATTGTTTTGAATACGAGGAAACACACACACCACACACAAACACCACACACACACACACACACACACACACACACACACGCGTGCGCGCACACACACACATTCTACGTACATGTACTTGAAGTACATTGTACCCACCGTAGTGTTAGTACTCCCTTCGTACGTTCTTATGTACTTACAAGTAGATAAAAAATATATTTAAAATTTTACCTCCCTTATATTTCTCAATAGTAGAGGGTACACGCTCTGAGCTTTGATCCCAGACTTGAATTATATTTTGGTTTGGTGCATAATTCTGCTACACCTTACCAGCACAGCTTGTCATTGTTGTCAATACCTTCATTTATGACTGAATCTTGCGATTTAGCTCGTTTTGTCAGTTAGTATATTCAGGTCTGGTATACTTGTGGAATTTGATAACCCAATGATCATTATGTATGGAGTAGGCTGCAGGACGGCATCGTGAAACAACTTGTCGAGTCTCGATTCGCCCGACATTGAGTAATCAAAGCGCTGGTTGCAGAAACGGACTACACTGTATACGACTCGTATTTTGTTCGGAGCTAGCGGAATTGACTGGACCTTCATTCATTATTCTTGGCTCTGAATTCATCGCATCATACTATTGGGCAGCACCGCTCCTTTGCCGGATATCGATGTCAAATAAACTCAAATACAAAATACAATTCTAATTACAAACGATAATCCGGTGGAACAAAAAGTGATCTCTACTCACGAGTTTCATGCTGAAAAGCAATCATCAGGAGACTGGGGCTATACTCGGGGTTAAGTGGTCGTATTCACTAAAAGCGTTGTCCCATGGCAGAGGTATACAATGCTAGTGTTTCAGCTCGAAGGCAGTGTAAGCGATCAGTATAATTATAAGTACAGTACTATGCGGGTGGCATGGGGATATTATGACACCGGCCAAGGTGTAACCCCCCCCCCCCCCCCGGCTACTGCGGGTTGAGGAAAAGAATGATCTATAATTATTCGTATTGCACAGGGTTACCGTAGTTCCGCGCATATAAGCCCATGGGCTAATGATAAGTAATATACGAAATAATGCATTTTCCGGGAAAAAATCAGTAATAATGGTTCGTTTTTTAGCCCTGGCCGGCCCCTGGGCCTATATTCGAATTTTGAAGGCAGCTGGCACGCGAAAAAGTACAAGTCCGTGCGCGGTTGTCCGCCTACCGTAGTACTAGTAGTCCGTGAGCCAAAACTCAAAATCACAAGTGCCGTTGCACTCTCGGAGGGACAAGTCGCCGCTTACAGTGTTGGTCAAGGACATCACAAAGGATACGTTTTCGCTTGTTGGACGTTCCAGAACCGATCCAGAGACCTTCGGGAGGGCTTCTTTTCTCGACCAAATCCCACCGTGAGAACAAATATTTTACGCGAGTGGTGAGGTGTGCATCGGACGAGTAAGCACAAAAGTACGATTTCGGGTGGAGTGAGGAAAAATTATTTATTTTTTAGAAGATAACGACGTTGACGACAAGATGGATTTGGGGTTTTGTGATCACTTTATTGAAGTTTATTCCTTTCGTGTACATTGATGTTGTTTGACAACAATGGAAGAGGAGGAAGACGTTTCTAGTGGCAGCGAGGTGCCAGATGGGGCAGCTGACGGCAACGAAGTGGCAAATGACAGCCCAGCGGAGTAATATTGCTGGAATTTGTGTCTGTGTGACAGAACCCAATTTAGTAGAAACGAGAAGCCTGCAGCGAGTAATATCGAGACTACAAGTTGGCGTCGCATCGTCAGCGCTGTTCGAGAGAAGGAGGACCATGTCTGGGATTTTCTCTGCCAGCACAAGGGCTCAGGGAAGAGCAGATGGTGTGGCTGGTATCATGGAAAGTGCTACACCAATTGCACGCATGTGATCCTGAGCATTTGCAACACTGGAGAAGACCAGTGCCTCTGATTTTGCTTAATCTATACTTACTGACAGTGATGTGCATGTAGTAGTGAACCCAGAGCCACATCCTAAGGCCAACAAGGGGCTACCTACCAGGAGCTTAGTGGCTGATACGAACAACGAATGCCATGAAAGCAGAGCACGGTGTAAACACAACACCGAGAACTGGTCCACCCAGAGTTTACGGAAGGGAATGTTTTGTTGCAGGCAGCACTGGAGAGGGCAAGACGACAAGTAGCGAGGGCGAAACCAGCGGTCCTGGAGGTCCAAGCCAGAGCACCTGGCTGCTTGACGAGGAACATACTATACCATTGTCTGTGTATGTGTGCCAGTGTGTGCATGCGTGTGTGCGTGCACGTTTCTGTGTGTGCGCGCGCGTGTTTGTGTGTGTGCGCGCGCGCGCGTGCATGTGTGTGTGCTCGTGCGTACATGTGTGTGTGTGCGCGCGCATGCATGTGTGTGTGTGCGCGGGTGCATGTGTGTGCGTGCTAGGCGCTTTCCTTTGTTGGTGACACCACCCCAGGCTACAACTGCGGGCCGGATGGTGGGTGTCGGGGCACGGTGTTGCCACAATCACTGTGGTCAGTGTGATCCGTGTTTCAGGTCAGTGGTGGGTTTTAGCTCACTGCAGCCAAAGCGATCATGTTGCAAGTCAACCCGAGGGTTCCAGCTGCACAACTGCAACAAATGGATTCAAGAAAAGTCTAGATCTCGCTAGGACGTTGATGCGAGCAGCGCCTCAGCCAAACTCTCCATGTCTGTCGGCCCCTCACACGAGGGGACATGTAACCGGAAACGGCAATGTTCAGGACAGGACAAGACAGGAAGTGTGTTCCGGCCGCGGGACATGCTGTTGTTGCTGGTTTCGCAGCAGAGGAGCTTTGGCCGACCACACGTGCATCCCTAGATTGCCTTCACTCCCCCATCCGCTACTGGACTCTGCCTCGGTGATCAGGCAGGCACCAGGGACATCTGCTTTTCCTTCGTTCGGTCGCTGTCCGTCTTGTGAAGAGAGATCAATTTACAACTGACGGCAGCAGGACCACAACAGACAACGGGCATCGGTCATTTTGCACTCACTGAGGTGGGTCCTCCTCCTGATCCGGCGTCCTCCTGGAGTCTGTTCTTCTCCCATTGCCATTGGGGTTGCGTGCCTGGGAGACTGCATAGTCGGATTCGGCAGCTGGTCCATGTGTGTGTGTGTGCGCGTGCACGCGTGCCTGGGAGACTGCATAATCGGATTCGGCAGCTGGTTCATGTGTATGTGCGCACGCGCGTGTGTGGATGTGCACGCATGCCTGAGAGACTGTATAGTTGGATTCGGCAGCTGGTTCGTGTGTGTGCCCGTTCGCGCGTGTCTGGGAGACTGCATAGTCGGATTCGGCAGCTGCTTCATGTGTGTGTGTGTGTGTGTGTGTGTGCGTGCGCATGCGCACACGTGTGGGTGTGGGTGCGCGCGTATGCGTGTATGTATGTATGTGGCATCATCTTATATCGGTAGTTATCATTCTGTGTATTACTGTGTACTGCGGTGGACTGCGATAGCACACATTATGTGCCAAGATGTGCACCTAGCTGGTGATTTCCAACTGTGTTATGTTGAGTGGAAAATGAGCAATGACAGATAGTTTTTGGTGCTGTATGAGTGTGTTAGGCAATCAATAGCCAATTCCAACCTCTTGCATTGGCTGTCAGGTTGGATAGGATCAGCGCGTGCATTTACAACAGTGGTGACGTACTTCCTATTGTACTACCGTAATGTCACATTAGCTTCAGTGTTCATATCATTCTATACTGGAGTATTCTACGTACATGTATTCAGTAATGGAGTGGTTATTATATACTTCACTCACCAATTCATTGCTCGCTATTATCTACAAGTCCAATTCCAGTATGATGAAGTCAAGAGGCGATTTATCCAGCCAAGTAGAGGAACTTGGGATACGAAATCCAAGAGAAATCATTAGGGTATTCTCAGTTCAGCCATTCACGAATGTAATTGTTATTCTTCAACGCAAACTGAGTAATATTTGACCTTGAACAGGATGAAAAGAAGTTCATGCTCGGGGCAGAGTCCGCCATTCGCTCCAGAAGGTTACTCACTACAGTCTTCTACGCCTAGGAAGTGGTGAACAAATATCTCGAGAGGTATTTAGGACATTCTTTGAAGTCAGTTTAGTTCTGAACGAATGCATTGTAACTTTGCTGCAGTTTGCATGCATGATCCGGCCGGATTGATAATTCTCAGCGGTAAAAAAATTCAAATCTAGTTTTGTGCACTGGTTTCCGCGTTATGTGCACTCGTGGAATCTGCTCATGGCTTCAAAAAATGAGAATCCGTGAACAAGCGAAAAAAAATCAAGTGAAGAAGGCGAAAATGGCCGCTGCTGTCCGTGAGCAAAGTTGGATGTTTGGCGTCTTCTGTGACCTCCCTGGATCAGTTTCGAATTGTCCAACAAGTGGAAATCGCTTCAGGATACCATCCTGAAGCGGTGTGCTGAAGGACGATTTGTCCCTCTCTGGGTGCAACGGTCGATGCTAAAACAGCCGATTCTGAGATTTGGCTCACGGACTATAGGTACCGGTACAGGTAACGATGTAGTCTGCACTGACATGCTGTACTAGTATCGGTCAAGAGTCCATGGGGTCAAGCGCGTTTGGTACTTTTGAGTACAGGAATGGACTTGTTCAGTTGTGTCTTCTTCAATTTCCTTTTTTCTTTAACCCTCCACTTTCTTGTTTTCTGGCTCATCAACAATAACAGCTCTGTACCGGTATTGCTAAAAATACACTTGACAAACGAGTCCGTAACGGTGTTTGGGTCTGTTTATTAGCCCATGGGCCTATAAACAGAGGTGGGCTTATATTCGGATATAGGCCTGTAACCGAATGGCGCCTAGTAGCATGCACTATGATCCGACACACCGCCAAAGACAACAACCGACTTCGACATTGGTTCTAAGATTTTGTTGAGTAAGAAAAGTGTACGGTATTATATGTGACCAAAAAGATACAGTGAAAGAAAAGCCTAGCAAAGCATTGCAAGCCACGTTGGTTCGTCTGCACGACTTCGGCTGCAAGCTAGTGCAAGCCAGTGCAAACATGCAGATCGACAATGTTGTGCGGAAACCAAACATCACAAACATTTCCAGAAACTAACTAATGATTATGTGTTCATACCTACATACAATCATGAGTCCATAACTAAGTAATTTACTATGCACGTGTCTGGTTTGTTATGTTAGCAACCTAGAATGCATTGAACACATGGATTCGATCACACATTCCCCCCTGGTAACACAACAAAACAGGGAACTTGCACTAAAACGTATAACTAAGGTTCTCCAAAGAAAAGAGCCAACAATCCACCAACAGCTAATCAAGAGAACAGCAAAATGCGTAATGGGTCTCGCATTTGCTAGCTTGCTCCTAACTAAGCACGCGCCAAGTAAGACTGATAACACGACACACATCCAGTTTCAGGAGCCATAGGGCTGCAG